TTTTTTTCCTTTTTGTCTTTTTTACTGACCGGTAACTGGATCGCAACCCTCGGTGTCACTCCTGCACCAGGGACCGGCAACGGGATCGCAACCCTCAGTGTTGCGCCCACACCGCGCTCAACCAGTGAGCGGGAACCGGTCTCCACATGGGATCCGAACCCTTGGCGGGAGAGCCGCCGCACTCCCAGGTGGCGCACTCTCCAGTGCGCCACCGGGCCGGCCCTACCTTGAGTAATTCTGATGCAGGTGATTCACACAACATATTTTGAGAATCCTGGCCTAAATAATGCAATAAAAACCAATTAAAAGTACTACACATTTGTATTTATACAGCTCCCCAAATACTCATTAGCTTTCGTCAAAGACCGATATGTTCAATGGAAAATGAACCCAAGAGAGAGCCCTGCCCTGTAGTACAGAGAAATATAGAACAGAGCCTGGAAACCAAGCAGTGTCTGTTGATTTCCCCAGCCAGAGTTCTTTTCCTTAAATAACTCCCAGGGAACAGAGACAAGGCAATTTATTAATGAGGAATCCCTTAGCTTCTGCTCCTGTGTCTCTTACTTGCAATCATTAAAAACTTCTCCATCTGCCCCAAATGCAATATCTAGGGGTGGTTCTAAAGCCTGCATTGCAAAGGCAATGCAGCATATTTCCTGGATGAAGTCACTGAGAAGGCCAAAGTCAACTTCAGGAGGGAACGAAATCTTGGGGTTGACATTCATGGCTCGGATCACATCCTGAAAAACAAAGATGGCATCACCTTGTTACCAACCTGTGACAAAAAATCTTTGGCTTTCTAAGGACATCCGGCTCATGGGAGGTGGGAAAGGAGCACGTGAGTGAAAACAAGTTAAACCAGAAAAATAGTGTGTGTGCTAAAAGGAGAAAGATGTTATCACTCATTGATAGGAAAGGAGGAAAGATGACCCAGAGTACAAATGATATACTACAGGTCAAGAGACTCCCTCTAAAAAACAGGGAAAAAAACTTTCTGTGGCTTTTATTTATTATTTCCTTATTTTTCTATTCTGGGAAAGTGTATGATATGCCAACACAGATCTCTGACTTGTCCACAGTGCAGAATAATAACAATTATAATAGCTTGCTCTTATTTAGTGTTTACTGTGTGCCAGGTCTTGTGCTAAGCAAATTACCTCTTTCTTTCATTTAATCCTCTGAATAACTCTATGAGGTGATGACCATTGTTACTCCCATTTAAAGATTAGAAAACTAAGGCACAGAGAAGCGAAGTAAACGTGTAAGGTCACACAGTAAGTGGCAGAAATATCATATAAATATCAGAATGTAAATATCATAGAAATATCAGAATATAAGAGTACCATAGTTCTTAAGAGCAAGGGCTTTGGGCTTTACATCCACACTTACCTTTCCCAAAGCACTTGCACATAATGATACGCTATCTCCCAATCTTAAGTGTCAATCTAAAGAATAAAAATATTTAGCCCAGAACATTTTGTCCCCATAAAATGTCTAAGAAAGAAATAGCCAATCATGACTGGGCTACAAGGTAAATTTAATGCTTTTCCTTTCTTCTCTTCCGCTACATAGAAGCAATACAAAATACTGGATGGATTCCTGAGTTGTCAGTATTCAGTGCAAACATCAGCAGCAGCAAACTAGTCCTAATAAGAGACCCAACACTTACATTAACACTGCTTTGGGAATCATATAGATCAAGA